GAGGATTCAGTAAGACAATGTATATTAAATGCTTATAACAATAATCTGGCATACAGTTAGGTGTTTGATAAATGTCAACCTCAACTCTTTCTTCTGATGTTTCTGTTCATTCCCTATAGGCAAGCAGTAAAAATTATCATGTTTTAAAGAGCTGATACAATCTTGCCTGATTGCCTACTTAACCCATTTTTGTAACTCTCAGGGCCCTAGCCCTCTGGGCAATGAGGTTCAAACTTTCTCTGCCTGCTAAGAGCTGGGCTGCCATCTTGGCAGGGCACTTGGAGCTTCTGCCTGGTCACTATGCCCTAAGCATTTGCCTCTACCCACCACTGGATGGATGGGAGCAATTCTCCAGCTAATTTGCCAGTTACATGGAAGAGTGCTTCCCAAATCACAAGGCTGTTGAGATTAAACTGGTAATTACCACATGCAGATTTCCCGAAGTGTTCACTTGTCTGTATCCAACACTGACCGAGTATCTGGGATTTTGAATGGCCTTTGAGCCAGATTTCAATTGTGGCAGAGGTGAATAAACATCAAGACTAGGGAGAAGTTATTAACGATGACATACTCAGCCATGGGGTGTGGAGAGTGTCAGCCAGGGCTGCAGACCTTGTAATGCAGGTCTCTTCTTCCTGTGGCTGAAGCCCACTATCCGTCCATACCAAGCACAGACACCTTCCCGTCAAAGCCTTCCATGACCCCCATTCCTCAACCCAACTTAGAGTAATTGCTCCAGATCTATACACTGATAACATCCACAGGGATCTCCACACCCTGTGACAATTCTTGATGAATGTATGGGTTGTTTGCCTCTACCAGATTATTCTGCTCTATGACATAGAACTACACAACCACCACACTCCCACCTGCGTCACCTCATATGAGGAAAGCTGCCTGACTCCTTCAGAGGGAGAGTGGATTAGGAACCTTTACTTCCAACAGTCTTCTCCCTGGAACCCCCCCCCCGCCCCCCCACCAAAACACACACACATCCACACCGTGTTTCTTGGTTAGCATTAAAGTTGGCTACAAACAGAGGGAAAAAACAATAGCAATGGCTGAACCCAAGATACAGCCTTATTTCTCTCCCAAGTGAAAGAAGTGTGAAGACTGAGAAGTCCAAAATGTCATGATGGCTCCTTCCTTTGGGGCCACAGAGGCCCAGGGTCCTATCTTTCTTGTCTATCATGCCTTCAAAGTTACTTTATGATCCAAAATTGGTACTAATGCTACAGCTGGCAAGGACAAGGTTCAGGCTGGAAGAAGGAAGACAGGCAAGAAGAGAAAATTGGAGGCATCCCCTAGCTGATTTGACTCTCTTTAAGTATGAACCAGTCTACATCATTTCTGCATATACCTCTTGGGCCAGAATATAAGCCACATGACAGCACTTGGATAAGAGTGAGGATGAGAAACATGGCCCCTTTTTTTTCCCCAAGAAGGCAATGTGCCCCACCAAAAAACTGGGGTTCTGACATTAAGGAGCTGACAGAGAATGTGCCTTGAGATGGACAACTAGCAGACACAGTATCCAGGATAAAAATTAAAAAGAAACAAAAAATAATGCAAGTGAAGGGAGCTGCATTTCCCTCTTCTAAATGCCATTTCTTCTGATGAAGCACAAATCAGATATCTCTCTCAGGGAGAGAGAAAAAGATGGGAAAAAATGAGGCCTCTTTTTCAGTTTCATGGAAACAGCCCAAAGAAATCAACCAGTAAGAAAAAATTAAGATATTAATATGTATTAATTTCCTTCTTGCCTCAGGCACCAGCACACGTTTCATCTTATTTAATTCTCGCAACATCCCCAAGAGGTAACTACTATTACTTTCATTTTGTATATGGATACTCAAGTTCAGAGAGGTTAAGTGACTTGCTCAAGGTTGCAGAGCTAGTGAGGGATGAAGCTGAAATTTAAACTAAATCCCCTTACAAACAGCTCCTGCTCTCTGTTTAACAGTAACTCTCAACACAAAAGTAGAAGAGGGAAGAAGAGGCATGACAACATCTCTGATTCAAAGAACAAAATGCCCTTGAATTTTGGTTTCAACATTTGGTGTAGAATGTTAAATGTTCATAGTTCCTTTCATGTACAGACATTTGTCTGATAGACAACATTTTCTGCATACATGAATTGTGAAAATATTTTAAATCTTAACCAAGATGCTCTATACTGATGGTTGGGGGGAGAGAGGATTGCTGAATGCACCACTTCAAAGCCTGAATGTGAATGGCCTCCTGGCCACTGAACTCATGAGAATTTTGATTTATGCTAAAGCAATGCTAATGCTTATTGAGATTTGGGCCACACTACGCTTCTAGGATGGGGGGACAAGTAAGGGAGACAACACTGGAGCCAGAGAAGGAATCTGTGAGTGTAATCCTTCAGGGACCAAAGGGGACTTAGAGGAACTGTGGCCAGCCTCCCACATATGGCAAAATGTTCTCTAATATATCTCATGAGTAATCATCCAGCCCTTGAAAGAAGACTAAGTAAGATAGAGGGCTTGCTGTTTTCTAAGGTAAAGCATTTCATTGACAGATATCTCCTTTTATTTTTAATTTTTTAAAAGATTTACTTATTTATTTATTTAGAGAGAGAGTGAGTGAGAGTAGAGGCAGAGGGAGAGGGAGAAAATCTCAAGCAGACTTCCAACTGAGCGCAGAGCCCTATGCAGGGCTCCATCTCACGACCCTGAGATCATGACCTGATCCAAAATCAAGAGTCAGACGCTTAACTGACTGAGACACCCAGGAGCCCCTGGACATTCCCTTTTAAAATAAAGCCAAAATTCAAACTCCCGAGTTTAACAGCAAATAAGTATTGAGGGTCTTCTGTGCACTGTGCTTTTATATAAATTATCTTCAGTAACCCTAACATTGTACCTATAAGCCTATGAGGGAGGTAGAAATCATCCCTTTCCTTTGTAACCAAGTTCACAGTCTGGGTGTGGAGGACTCTCCAGAAACCACACAGCTAGGATGATCAGCCAGGTCATCCAGCTTCAAAGCGGATGTTCTTTCCTTGCATGGTCACTGCATTTTTGCCCTGGTTTTTGGCAATTGTCCTTAACCTTTGGTCCACACTTCACTGGTTCTGGCTGGATGGATGTTAATGGTACCACCATCTCTTCTACACAGGACAGAATCTGCAGACCATTCATCATTTAATTGACTTCTCCAGGATACTGGTCAGCTTTTTCAATGGTTTTCCTGACCATAGGTCCCCAAACTGAGCATACTCTGCTGGCTATGGTCGTGATGGGATGGGGTTTGTCCTCCTTGTATTTAAAGACACATATGTACTTTCTGCTAAACTTGTTCTTCAGTTAACTTCTATAACAAATGCTTTGGAGCAGCTGGGTCACTCAAGTTAACCCATCACAGTGTGGACTCAATTAACAAATCCAAGTTAAAGGCCCCAACCCCATTGGCCTAGAGCTTAATCTCATGCAGTTGATAGTGAACATTCAGGATTTCTATGTGCCTTCAGCAGGGCATATTCAATGAGCAAATGGAGGATCCAGTTTCAGGATAGCTCGCTCACATGGCTGGCAGGTTGGTGCTATTAGCTGAGAGCGCAGCTGGGACTGTGGGTCAGGGCCTGGGGCTCTGGTTTCTCTCAACATGTGTCTCTACATGGGCCTTACCTTCATCACAGCATGGTGGCTGGGTTCCAAGGGCGACTAACCCAAAGGAACCGGACAGAACCTGCACAGCCTTTCCTAACCAGGCTTGTACCATTTCCATCCTACTCCATTGATTAACAGTTCACAAAGCTTGACCCAGATTCAAGGGCCAAGGACATAGACCTCCACCTATCAATAACAGGTGTGTCTAAGAATTTTTGGCCCACAGACCTACCTCAGAAGGCCGTCAGCTCTAATATGTACTTTTGTGTGATCTGGAGCAAGTCATCTTCCTCCTAACCCACGTTTTCCCTTTTTGGGGTGAGAAAAAGAATAGGATCTGTGAAAAGATGTACTGCAATGCCTGCCACCATCCCTTCTCAGACTTGCAAGCTGGCTTCCTCCTGTCTACTCAGTGTCTTGTTATTATTCATTGCATGGTATCTGAATAAGTCAGTTCATTTGAAAGGATCAGTTCATTCACCCCAGTTTCTCCCAAGTTTTTAATAAAACTTTCAGACAGGTCAGAATGCTGGGGCACGCCATTTGAGGCCCCTTCTCAGACTGGCCAACCAAAACCTTCAGAGGCAGTTACTTGGTCTACTAGAAGTCTTTGTTGGCCTCTTGGAGTCTGTATCATCTTCTTAACTATTCTCTTCCAAATGTGCCATTCTTGGGGAAGTAGTGATGAAAGAATGAACAGGAACTAAACAAAGGGAATCTATACGGATAAGCAAATCTAATACTAATTTTGTGACAATGGATTCAAATCATAATTTCAAGATGCAGGTTAAGAATTTATTTGATGGGTGGTCATATTAGGTGAGTTTAGCTAGGAAGATTTTCCAGAGAAAAAGCTTAGAAAATTCTGAACAAAAACAACAAAAAATCATTTTTTTAAACAAAAAGTCATGTTGGAATTTCTTTTCTCAGCAGTATAATTTGATCCCAAGTCAACTTCACATCAGGCCACTTAGTCTTTACCCCAGTGTAAATGATTACCACAGAGAGTTCTCTTGATAAAACATCTGCAAAAGATCCACTTTCCTTTGTGTCTTGATATCTTGACATTATATCATTTGATACTTGGAGTACTTGAAGTGGTTAGAAGTCTTCAAGGAATTATTTTATATATTTGAATAAAACTGTTAATTATTGCATTCTGTTGTGAAGGCATGAACCAGGGAAAAGATAAAAGCATCTTTCAAATTTAATGTCCCAATTAATTAATTTTTACTTATAAAATTGGAGCCTTTGCAAAGGCTCCTGGAAGCATGATAAAAGATTGACGTCATAAAGATAAGAATTTAACTGGGTCAAGCCCAGCCATCATATTATTCTTAATTAGGAATGAATCTCTCTATAATTTCTACAAAATTGGCTGAATAACAGATGACACACTAAATTGCTAATGTAATTCAAGGGGTATATGATTTGAAAAGGGGCTTCTCCTTTTTGCTGATTTTATCAGTGGTGCTCTCTGCCCTGATTCATTCAGCAGGTTGTTGTTTATTTTCCAAGTTCAGAAAAATGTCATCTTTAATTATAGATGGTGCCCACGATATGTATTCCCCTCTGTGCCTACTTTCAGGATTGAATGTAAAGTATTGGCCTGGATAGGAAAACACGTGCTCATGTCAGAAGAGGTATCATTTCAAAAAGGTCACATCTGAAACTTGTCCAGTGAGTCAGCTCGGAACTTGTGGGCTGTGTGCTGTGGTTTTCAAGAATCAGAAAGGTCGGTCTCTCCAGGCAATTCCAGACACTGCTGAGGAATGTAGCTTTCACTGGGGAAAAGGGAGAAAGCATGTTTGAGAGATTTAATGTATATCATGTCACCACATCATGGGTGAATCCCATAAATGTAATGTTGAGAATACAGAATGTAGTATTCCACTTATATAGTTCAATAACAGGTAAAACTAGGCTATGATGATAAATGTAAAAATAGCTCTGGGGTGGACATTAGTGGGAAGAGACATAAGGAAATATTGTGGATTAATGGAAATAGTTTATGTCTTGATCTGAGTAGTGGTTGACATGTACACACACATAATTAAATATATATGTAAAATATTACAGTTGTGTATTTCTCTCTATATGATTTACACATCAATACGATGACACACATATGCAAAGGCATGGTATGACAATAAAAATTATATATGTCAAGCAACCCTAAATTAGTGGTTTGAAGGATGCCTGGGTGGCTCAGTTGGTTAAGTGTCCGACTCTTGATATTGGCTCAGGTTGTGATCTTGCAGCCGTGAGATCAAGCCCCGTGTTGGGCTCTGTGCTCAGCGCGGAGTCTGCTTCAGATTCTCTCTCCCTCCTGCTTGCATGCTCTCTTTCTCTCTCAAATAAACAAAAAAAATCTTTAAAAAATAAATAATGGCTTGAATTCCCAATCTTAGAATAAGTATTATCTCTGCTAGGTCCTGTTTGTAAAAGTGTGTTCCCTAGACTTCCACATCAGAATCAGCTGCCCTCAGCTGTTAAAATACAGATTCCTGGACCTACCCTATTCTAACCTACACACAATCAGTGGAAATGGAAGGTGGAACAATCCGTCTTTTCAGTAAACTTCCCATGTTATCCTCCCATCTCCAAAAAGAAATCCTTGCTGAAGTGTATTTTAAAGGAGTGATCCATGAACCCCTAACTTTGTATTTCTTGCTAGCACTGATGGGCTCATCAGAAGTATCAGTAGATTTCAAGGAGGCTCAGTTCAAAACCAGTATGTAAGGCTGGGATAAGGAGTTATGAACCCTTTTACTGAACATATGCCATGAGTCTTTGTTTACACTATCTCTTAATTTTCACAACTGTGATATGAGACTTAGAGTATGATCATCTGGTATTCAAGCGGTGCTAACTGAGGTTAAACTGGATAAGTTAGCACTCCAAGGTCATACCCAGAAAGGGAGGAGTCACCAAGATGTGGCTGACTCCACAGTTCAGACTTTTAGCCATTTTGCTTCCCCAAACATGTGAAGCATATGGTGTTCCAGGCTTTCAACTGGGAGGGTCCAGAGCAAGACAGGTCTCAAGCTAAAGAGGACCCATTCTGAGGCTTGGAGGAAGGGTGGGTGAGATTCAGATGGTTAAGGAGGGGCTAAGATAGACACCAGGATGAGAAGAGGAAGCTGAGTGGCTCAATTCCATAGGAGCCAAGATTCAAGAAAGATTGGATATGTACTGGATTTTAGAGGGAAAGGAGGAATAATAAACGTGGACAGGGAGCCTGGGGCAGGCTGGGGAGCATCTTGACTGCCAGGTCATCAGGTTGCCCTTTTCCTTTGGGCTACAGGGAAATAATGAAGGTTCCTGAACAGGGACCTTAACAGATGACACCAGGTATTAAGGGAGGTCACTCTGAGGGCAGCACTAAAATTGAACTGATGAGCCACTGCCTGTGAATACTCTTGCCTTTTCTCTCCACTAGGATCTTCTCTCATCCCTATTTTTTAAAATCTCTCTCCTACCTTTTCAGCATCAGGGCCAGACCCTTTTTCAACAATATGGTTAGTGTGATCTTTCGAGAGCGAAAGTTTGTAGTGCTTGACTAAATCCTGCTTTACAGAAAGCACATTCAGCTATTCAACTATGGACTGAATTGGTATATGCATATCGCATATAATTTGATTCCATACATTTCTTTTTATATCACTTACTTTTTTTGTTATGGAATCTTAAGGCTATCTATTATTATGTTCAGATATGTAGATAGGTGAGGTTAGCTCATTTTGCAATATACAGATGAGTTTACTCATCCATACATTCATTTTCCTATAAAGTGGCAAATATTGGAAGGGGGCAATGGAAACCCAACTTTGATTTGTAGTTGGCTAGGGTAGATTTAATTTTGCCAAAACTTAGGTCAAATTTAGAATATCTTACACTGCTGAATTGCAATGTTGCACCTAAAGAGTGTGACAGGCCACACAGAGCTAGGGTAGGAGAGAGCACATCTCAGAAAGAATTATCTTCCAAGCTAAAGGAGTGACCTATGCAAAATTTGTAATTGTAAAATCTGACCTTATGAATCACATAGCATCACAGCCACTGGGAACATGAGCTTTTGCTTATGCCTGCGTCTGCCCAAATATCTCTTTTTTTAACTCTTTCTCAGTGAAATAAATTTCAGCTTTGCACCATTTTTCTGTTCTTAAGTGCAAATGAAATTTTTGCTCATTTGTAAACTGAGTATGGGTGGACTTCAGCATGTACACATCTCTACTTTGCCTTGTGTTCACAGCAGCTCCTCATTTCTGGAAATCACCTTTATAAACAACTCAGGAAAATTATACAACAGATCATAACCCACATGTTTATTTCTCACGACCCCATTTCTCCAGGCTGAGGTAAGGGTAACTACAGCTCTTGTCCCATCAGAAGAGTTTACTGAGCCCACAATTAGTCATAAGGTTTGTGGTGTGGCAGCGAATAAACATACCTTGAATAGTGTGCTGGGTAATTTACACGCATTTTCTTAGATAGTCACCCAGCAACCCAGCACCTGTGGAAGAAAATGAGGCTCAGACATTTGTGTGACTTGCACAAGGACATAAGGGTAGTCAGTGGGGGTAATGTGAGGTGTAGAACAGGAAAAGAGAATCTGGTACTTGTAGAAATTAAGAACCGTGAAGCAAAAATGAGTGAAAACCGAAAAGCATCTAGAAGATCCAAACACATGCAAACACAGGAGCCAAGATCAGCAGCAACAAGGGTGCTTGCGAAAACTCCATGAGTGGGACCAGGGGCAGCTCCATTTCTTCTCCCTCTTTGGCCGCAACCTGTCATGGATTTGTCCAGAACTCATACGATTCTACAGAAAAGTTTACTTCCAACTGCCGGTTAGATAGCATCTATCTCTCAGTGTGCACTGAATGTGACACTTGATCTCTGCTCCTTTGAAACTAGCTTTTGCTAAGTCTCTAGTTTTGGTTTGAAGACACTCAGCAGCTGAAGAGGGGCTGGGATGGAATTCCAGTTCAGTTCTTCGGAATCTACGTCTGCCTGTGCCTTCCCTAGGACATCGGACAGGAAGCAAATTTACATTTACCCATCTGTCTCCATTCTAGATAGTTTACAAACAACAGCTTTCTCCCATCCAAGTGTATACCTCGCCACTGTTGTATATAGTTGTATTTCTTTTAATAAATAGAGAAATAAATGAATAAATAAGCAAAACTGAGAAAATCACATTCATGGAAACATTTTTGCATCTTAGAAAAATAAGAGGTTTGGGTAATCTTGGCCCCAAAGGACTGAAAATAAGTAGTTGCTCGACTATAATTAAGCCCCTCCAGAAGAGCAGTTTGGCGTTTGACTCAGAAGAGTAATTTAGCTTTGGGAGCTTCCCAAAGTGGTTTATACCAATGTTGCAGGATTAGTCATTTTAGGAAGATCATTGTGTAATGCCTGCAAGTTCTGCTTTGATACTTGACATCGAAGACCCCAGAGGTTCTAAGTAGAAACAAATATTTCTACCATCATATGTGGTCCTTTTACTTTGATCACTTGTTGCATTTTATCAGTAAGGAATTTAGAAGCAAAAGGGACAACATGTGCAGAGGGATTGGTAGTAAGCAGATGTGTTAAGACAGATTCGGCTACAGTTCTTGGGACAGGCAGGGTTAGCTCAAGCATCATAAAGGTGACGATGGACTTTGATTTCTGAGTAACTTGAGTTCAAATCCCTGCACGGAACTTCACTAGTTGTGTGATATTAGACAAGCAACTCATGTCTTCAAATCTCACATGACACAAATACAGATAATAATAGAGATATTATGGCATTGCCTGTGTGAAGAATTAGGGCTAGAACAAAAGAACACACACTAGAGAAGTAATTATATACACTGACTTTTTCAGAATTAGTTCTTTTATCAGTATTGCTCATATCTCTCAGTCCATGTAATTCCTAACCTAGGACACTGGTTGGCTTAGAGCAAGCAGGAAGATCTTGGACAGGTAAGATCCTTTTCTGAAAAAGATCCTCTTCAGATGCTATTGACATTCTCCCAATAAGTACCGTTAAGTGAGCATGCAAGAGGCATGTCAAAAGTGAGCACTTGGTGATGAGTCAAGAGACATAATTCCAAATCCCAGCACTGTCACTTGGGGCACAATTTAGGGTAAGTCATCTGATCATGTGGGTCTCAGTGTCATGAAAACAAAAATGGGAAGAAGAGTGTAGTCAAAACAAACCTCAAAGTTTTCTCAGCTTTCATCGTTAGTAGTTAAAAGAATACAACCCTCAGCCATTTATTTCTTCAGGATACTGATCCTCAGCATATACATTCATCCAGCAAAATAATGAATAAATTCGATATAAATAAATACATACATAAATAAATAAAACAAATATCCCAGACTGATGCATAATGTGCTATTTTTCCACAAAGAATAAATCGGTATCTTGATGCATTGGCATAGCGGGCTGTTTTCTGTTCCTTTTATGAAAGAATGGTTTTAAGGAGCATAAGTATATGGTCTTTGTCAAACATGTATGTCTGTATTTTCATTTAAATGTAAATGCAGCAGTGAGTCTTAGGAAACACACATACACACTCTGAAGCCTTTGCAGAGAAGCAGCAGGAACAGTGAGCTTTCAAATTGAAATTCCTTCTTAAATTATTTTTTAAGTCTCTCAAGATCACCTTGATAATTAATTTCTTTTATATTTTAAACATCCTTTTTTTTTTCCCCTGCAAAGAGGGAGAAAGCACCAACATCAGTGGAAGAACTCTGATTGTCAAGACAACACAATGTGCTGCTAGCTAGGGAGACATTTGTGCAACTTACATGGAGATATAAATATATTAGTTTGGGGATTCCTACTTTCAGAGCAAATATTACATTGTCACAAATATCATACCCTCAAGCCAAGGTATGTATTAATGGCTTCATTATTAAAATTTGGTTACTGTTTCAGAACCGTAAATCCATCAGTTATGATAATTTTATAAAATGAAACCACAAATATTAATAAAAGTTTTCAGTTCAATGAAGCATCAACAATAACCAGATATATTATAATTCTGGGAAAGTTAGGAAACAATATTTTTAAAGCTTAAGAAAATATTCGCTAATTCAAAACTTTCACTGTGTTTTCAAGCACTAGCCTGGACAATAAATTTCCCCTATTCCCCTTCCTACCAAAATGCATCATTTCTCACATCGACAAAATAAAGCCCATGTTTTCTTAGCCTAATGTTCAAGAGCTTTACCCTCTTGCCCTAGATTAACTTTCAGATTGCTTTGTGGATGCTCCTTTTCATGAGCCCTGTGTCTGTCCATCCCTTGCACAGACTCACCCTCAAAGCCTGCCTCCCCTATAACATTACACTGTCTTCACTTAAAGCAGCATTCACCCACCATGCCCACCCTTTCAATTGCTACTCTCAAATAGCCAAATGAAATTTTGCTTGGTTTTTGAGCTCTTTACCCATTGTCTTGCAAATAGTAGGTTCTTAATAGTATATCTATGATGAATGAGTATGTATAAAAATGTGTTTCAGGAGTCTCTGCAGGAACCATAGATTTTATATCTCTAAGGTAGACAATAAAGGTTTTAAACACAAAAGAAGATTAAAGTCCATTAGGGAAATCTCACCAAAAGAAAATCTGGAGAACAGGCAGGCCTGCTTTATGCCAGGAAATTGTCTTTCTTTTTAATCAAATATACAGCCATTTATGCAGTTATTAAGCAGCTAGATTATGTAGAGGGAGTTGGCTGGTCCCTTCAGTTTGAAGGCCATTGGCTGTAACAGTTGCATCCCAGATTGAACAGGATTGCACTGGATCCACAGAAGGTAACAAGAACCTATTGTCTTTCCTAAATTGCAGAGGAGTACGTCTTTCCGTTTTTTACCTCCATTCTCCATTCTCCTCTTAGTCTCATTTGTCAAGATTACACAGAACCCTTGGGCGCCTGGGTGGCTCAGTCGGTTAAGCGACTGCCTTCGGCTCAGGTCATGATCCTGGAGTCCCTGGATCGAGTCCCGCATCGGGCTCCCTGCTCGGCAGGGAGTCTGCTTCTCCCTCTGACCCTCCCCCCTCTCATGTTACTCGCTCTCTCTCATTCTCTCTCTCTCAAATAAATAAATAAAATCTTTAAAAAAAAAAAAAAAAGATTACACAGAACCCCAGCAGTCCTGCACACCGCATATGCCCTGGCTTCATCCTAAGTATTTCAAAGTACACTATTAAGTCAAAAAGAAAATCGAATCTTATTAACAGGATTAACTTCTGAACAAGTCTCAAAATCCGTTAGAAATAGAAGTGACGGTGTCAGCAATAAGGCTCTGAGAAATCATTTAATTAAAACCCTTTTATTTTTAAAAAGCTGATTACTTATGTGTTCTAGTGGCTTCTAGCATTAAAACCTGGCAGAGTGGATATTCCACGGTGGGCCACAATCCCTCATGGCCTGTTTGCTGAAGACCGTTTCTTACGGTCACATACTCGATACTCTGTCTATCTGGCCCTAGCAAGTTGATTTATCCTCTGAAGAAAACACATATAAGGACCAGGCACCCAAGAGGAGGAAATGAATACCATAAACCTGACATAAAACATTTCAAGTCAAAATAAGATCTGGTAAAACTAGAGTTCTTTACAGTGGATGATGGAAACTGTGTAGCCCAGTTACAAAACCAAGCCATCCAGCTCTAAACTTGCTCAAAATAAAATGCCAAAGTCTTTCTGGAAAAGGGACCAGTTCCTTTTTGTTTACTTCCATAATTTCTACCCTTCCCACCAAATTTAAGGCAATTCACTTGTTCATTCATTTATTTTTCACATAACCTACATGGGATACATGGGAAGACCTGGAGGATACACCAACAAACAAGGCAAAGTCCCCATCCCCAGACAACAGAGGTGCTCTTTACAAATAAGTGGGTCCAATTTAATGGCCGTTTGTTAGAAGAGCGACCTCTGGATGGCCTCTGGTGGGGGTGGGATGATTGGAGAGGTGAGGTTTTCTAATTAAAGAACTTACAACCTCGCTATTGCAAATAGGCCAATGAGGTAAGAGGGGTCAATATTTTGACTTCTTGCAGGTGGGATTCCTAGAGTTCTCCTTTATGAAATATCAATTTTGTGAAAAATGTTGGTTATTTGGTTAATAAGGTTCTAGAAAGAAAGCAGTCAAGCGGCTCCAAACTGATTTTAGTTTTTGTGTTAGATTTCCATCAGGGATATTCTGGTCATCTTGAAGCCTCCTTAGCATAGGCTGAGCTGTTCAGTGGTGAGTGGATTCACACGGATGAGTCCAATCCAAAGCCCCTGGCTGTTGCCGTCCTCCCGAACAAGCAGTGCCTTTGAGACTATGGTTTTTGGACAGGAATAACTTCTTTTACTTTGATTTCTAGACCTAATCTGAAGAAGAAAAATGTTCCAAGTAGCCTAGGACCTAGTATATTTTTTAATAATTTTGTATTGCAATTCTCAATAACCCATTTCTGAGTTCTCTTGGAATAAACGTTAAAAAAAATTCTTCAAGCATCT